CGTAGTTGCAATACACATTTGAAAACGCGAGGCGCTAGAGAGCACTATTCGTTTGAATGCAAAATACAATGTCACCGCTAGATGGGAGAAATTCCTACACAATGTACCTTTAAGTAGGTTGTAAACTTTGTAGACTTTCATTATTTATTCATTATGTAGCTAAGGGAGTATCTTTACATTTTTGTATTGCTACTTTTACTTAAGTAAAATATTTCCACCACTGTTTATAGTTTATAAGTACACAGTACACACACATACACACACGCACACGCACACATACACGCACACACGCACACACACACACACACACACAGAGGTTGATGTCAAAATGTGTACCTGCTAAGCAAAATGTGTACAGGTTGGCAGATCTGTTTGTATAATAATTCACTTCACATGAATTGTCTGACTGAAAAAGCCCACAGCTAATTTCCATCCCAGGACCCCTAGTATGTCAATCCAGTCATGGTTTAAGTACGTGGTTAATGTAAAATGAAGCAGTACCACGAGACCATGAGAAATTAAACATGTTGAAACTGAAAGACAATACACACAAACAACATGCAACACTGCAATAGATGCAACCGGTAACAGGGTGCTGGCACAAATGTTCCTGTGAAAAAACATGGTTAGCCCAAACTAATGTGAGCCAGTGCACACAGAAGAAGACAGGTTAACAGGTTGTGATTTATAACTTCATTGGCAGCACTTGCTTTAGACGTTTAGAAGAAAGCGTTTTAATGAGGTGTGTGGTTTGTGTGCGTCAGTCTGAACCTCCCTACCTCTCACATCCTCGTCCTCGATGGTAGTGTTGGCACTCTCACTGGACTCCTGTGAAATGACACACAAAATACACATGAGTCTATCCAGCCTGACAGAGAAGCACAAACAAGCTGAGTACAGACATTTGAGTTCAACTGAGATCATCATCTACTTCAGCCCCTGTTACATCCTAATTTGGGATCAGACTTCTCACACAATAGATGGTGAGACTGACTGTCACTGAATTTGTTTTGGATTTGTTTGTTTTCCTTTTGGTTAGATGTCAATTGCATCTTTTATTAAGACATTAACAACTAGCATGAGTCTGTTCAACCCCCTTTCTGTAGACCATTATCAATCCCTGGATTATTATTCAACTTTATGATGAGAAATTTAAATATAAAAGGATATATCAAGTTTATTAACAACGTGAGTCTTATTTTTGTCATTTCTATCAGCTATGATAGCAGTGTGCAGAAAATAATTGCTGAGATCTGGGAACAACATGGTGACATCGCCACAATGAAATCTGATGGGATTAGAAACATGAGATGCTTAGACAGGTTGTAAACAAGCCAACAGTTAATCTAGATTATCAGAAACCACTGGTTGCAAACTGTTTTGTCTTCTGACCCCTTAAAAGTACAGTATATGTACTTGCAATCAGTTTGCATATGTTTACATACTGTGAAAAGAAAAGATTTTTCCTGTCTAGATTGTTTGATTTGAATACTTTTTAGAGGCCTGAAAGAATAAACCAAATTTAACACAGAAATGTGTTTTTCTTTTTTATAATTGGTATTGGAGCACAGAGCAAAAAGGGGTGGAACTTATGAAGGTAGCATCTTAACATTAATATCAATATGAATGATGTCCAAAACTTAACAGAATTTTCCATTATATGGAAACTGCACTTTACCCATACAACATCTTTCACACATTATTCCTTTTCATCCCTTAAAAGGAATACAATGATGCTATAGTGAAACAATTCATAAATGTCTGATTTAACAAACACAAACACAGCTGAATATTGCATTGGTACATATGACTTAAGCAAACAACTGCACACTCTCTTCATTTATGAACTACACGACACCCTTACTATGCACAAGAACACACACTGTATGCTACACTATGAGCTACAACACCATCATGTCACTGCACAAAGCAAAAGATACGAGCATGCACGTGTTCCCACACTGTCATCTGATGGATTATACATGACCATCTAGATCCATACATCTGCACAGGCAAATCACACAGACACAGTAGCTTCAAGCTAGTCTGTTAAGGATTTGGCTTGGAACAGCTTTGGTATCCACGATATTGCACGGTCTTTAGTTTGTTCCAACAGCATGCATAATCCCTTTGTCACACAACTGTAAACTCACTGTGATGTTACAATGACAATGGTCGTACATGCTTTCAAAACTTTAAACACTGGCATGTAAGATGACACAAGACTTATTTTTATGTTCAGATCTTACATGATAACGATGGCAGGAATATCCAGAAGTAAAACATAAAATTGTACACACAGATGACCAACGTTAAGTCAAAGAATTACATGCAACAGTTAACAGCATGCAATATTTTACACAATCCATTATCCCTTGTTTTATCAAATGACATGTCAATAACATCCAATGGCACGCATCATCAAAAGCAACAGTAAGACTATTCTAAATGGCACACACATCAGCAGCAGACTACAGCTTCAGACTAGCCTCTGCTCAGCTGTATACCTTGTTTCCATCAGCTGGGTTGTGGATAACAGTGGTCTGAGGCTCCTGATATGAGAGGAGCAACAGCAGGAAGAGAAGTTGGTGCAAAACGAAAAGTGAGTTAGGGAGAACGTTTGACAGAAAAGTGCTTTGCAAGAAAGGAAAAGAAAAAATAGAAGTAGGGAAGGAAATGGGGGACATTTACATAATTTCTATTTGGAGGAAAGCAAGTTGGTACTAAAAACAGAATCACTACAGCATACCGCAACACTGTTACAGACAGATGGGAATCAAGTAAAGTATATCAAGTCTGCTCAAGACAATCACTGACATTAAACACAGACACCATGGTAAATGATCTGTTAACATACTGCCATCTGCCTTTCCTGGCAGACAGCTGTAAAATAAAAACATCCAAAGGTTCACATGAGTATGTATTGGAGCAATCACACACAGCTTTACAGATACATCAAACATATATGTGTATTACTCTACAGAGATTAAAGAAATCATACCAGATATGAGGATATAAGGTAACAAGTAAATGGTCAGGATGGATTTCCCACTCGCACCAACAAGTACATGCTATTGCAAAACTATTTGCTGTACACTGGTGCTGTAATGTGTCCCAGTTGATGTGTTACATGATTGACTGAAACCTCCAAGGCACAGCTGGTGAACACTCTGTCACAGTGAGAATCATGTTTTCTGACAGAAGTACATGGCCTCTGCTCCACCTCAGGATAATGCAACTGTTGGAAATGCTGGATTTGTGTAAGTGTGCATGACCACAGTACACGTGAAAGTGTTAGGTGACACTTCTAAAGGTGTGGAACTCTCCTGGTTGAATTATCCGTGAAAAAATCTCTTGTTGTCTTGTTTGGCAAAAAGTCAAAAGTCACAAAAGGTAAAAACCCAAAGAAATTGTTCAACAAATATTTATTAGGAGTGAGATGAGGAGACTGATATCCAACTCATGCCTCTTTCCCAGGTTGTCTAAATGAGAATCGGTTCTCAATTGACTTATCAGATTAAATAATCAAGATTTCCTGACTGATATCTTTCTGCTGATAGCTTTCTGAACAATTAAATATCATGTTAAGGAGAGAACTTAACTATGACTCCCATGGTGGATTTCAGTTAAAAACAAATTTGGTTAAATTGAGCATACAGGGTGAGATGATTTTTATTCCAATTAGCAACAATGTTTAGATTAAAAGCTCATGGGTATCGTATTTTTCAGAGCTACAAATGTGACTTCCCAGAAATTAAGCATTAAATAAACATAAATTATAACTGATTTATCTAGGAGGCTCTGTGTTTCAACTTATCACAAATAAAAAAAACTAATTGGCAAGAAATACTTCCGAAGAATCTTCACCACACTAAATCTTAACTCAAAGGCAAACCAGTGTTGGTTGACAACAAAGGCTTGAAACCAGTGGCAACATTATATTAGCCACAGTTGACATGCAATGGCGCCAGTGTTGCCATTGCAGCCATCATCAACAACAAAGGAAAATGTAGCCCATGTACAGCAATGTGGCAATGCAATAAAGCAATCCAGAAGTGCGTGTGGACAGCTCATGTTACACAACCACTAAAGACATTTGTGGTTCTTAAGCTTTATGGAAAAAAACCAAAAAAACAATCACCATCAACAATCAAGTGAGGAAGGCGTAGAGCTCAACAACTGCATAGTCAGGACAGATGCCTGAAAGTGCGGACAGATGGATGGTTAAACAGAGACAGACAGTCATGCAAACATGCAGGCAGCAAGGCAGGCAGACAGTGTACCAGAGAAGGAGTGGGGACAGGCTCTTTGGGGCTGGTGACCACATTGGCCTTGTTGTTGATCTGGAGGGACAGAGTGGACAGACAGGTAGACAGACGGGACAGGGCAGAAGTGACAAGGCTTAGTGTTCAAACAGTCGCTCTTCAAGCAGCCGCTGTGGAGGGAAAAGTGGAGTGCTGTGCTCAAGAGTATCAGTGAGTCAGTCCATCAAATATGTGACCCATGCAGCAAAGAACAGGGTAAGCAAATAAACCTCCTTTAATCAACAGGATAACATAAAACAAAAAAATAAACAAAACCAAATTTTAACAGGGTTAAAAAACCAAGCCGGAGCATTCTTATCAGAGGCCTGCCTCCTTATAGAGCTAGATGAAGAGAGACAGACAATCAGAGGGAAACAAATGACCCAATTACTCTGTAGAACAATGATAAATTAGGTAAAACTCTGAGCTGACTTGTTGCATGAGGGTTGCCTTCTGCATGTACTGCAGTAAAAACATATAGTAGTTGCGAGTAGTTGCCGATGTAGTGGCTGCCCTGCTCTGTTTTGTACTGTGCAGGCTGCTGCTATCCACCTAGTGTACTCTCATCTCACTGCTTAATAGAGCAGGAAACGGTTAGCAGTATGACTGAATAAACTGAAATTTCAACCTCAATGTGCCAATAGATGAAAAGTCAAGGGATCACCAAGGTCATTATCTGGGAACCGTAAATGTCTGAACCAAATCTGGTGCCAAACCATATAATAGATATGGAGATGAAAAGTAGGGTATCACAAAATTGGGATTCATCCTTAAGGGATCACAAACATCTATCAAATGACATGGGAATGCATGAGATACTTCAGTCTAAATCATCCAGAGAGCCATGACGCTAACATGGCTAAAAAGTGGGTTTTGTGACATTCATAGATAAGATATATGTGATTCAACGTTCAACAGTAAATTTGCGATTATTTATCTTAAAGATGTCAAATATGGTTAATCTGCCTAAATTGTTTTTAAAGAATGTTTCTTAGCTCTATCCAAACACTGGTGTTAGAAAGGGGTGTCTTGTAATAAGTCATTTATATTCAGGCCTGAACAGCACATTGTAAGATCCACCCTTGCTGTTATCTGGAAGGTAAACCTTGTACTACAGGCCATTTTTCTTTTTTTCTTTTTTAGATAAAACTTGTGGAGAAAATATATGCAACTGATTAACTGAACTGTTTTTATCTTCACCTGTATCTGCCTGAAATTAGTTTCTGTTGAAAGATGAGTGAGTCACAGTGTAATGTAAAAATCTCAAGAATAATATCCATCTGAAAGCTGCCTCCTCCACCAACTAAAGATACATTTACAGTGGTTTTATTGAGTGGGCACATGTACTGTAGGTACATATGAATAATCAGGTTACCCTTTGTTCCATGTGAAAATTATATCCAGTGACGAAAACCAGCATCACAGGATAAGACTCACAACATGTGAGCATGTAAACAGAATGACATGCCCAGTAATAGACTCAACAAAGCAGGAAAAAGGAAATGAATCAGTGTCTTCAAAACAACATGTTGGACTATTGCCAGCCAGATATAAGAATCTGCTATGTGTCTGAGTCTAAAGCTATAGTAGCAACTATTTTACCTGTATCAGGATAAAAAAAAGGTACAAGGAATATGGTCATATTTTGATATCCATTTTATGTGCAAAGCACAAATAAATAAAACTATAAACAGCATTTTTTTCTAAGGTTATTCTTATGCTGGGGACACACAACATGACAACACCTTAACTTATTTAACATATTCAGTGATAACTGACCCTTTCTAAGTCCCGCCCCTTTTTGCTAAGTAAGAGTTGAGCAAGCCTCAGTCAGAATCTCTTCCTCGTTTCCTGTACTTAGATATGCTATATGCTAAGCTCGCCTATGTTAGCTAACTAGCTAGCTAACTAGCTAGCTGATGGTATGTTGGTTTTGTCTTTTAACTGTCTCCAATATTTGGCTGTCTTTTCAAAAAAGGGCGGGACTTAGGAAGGGTCAACTGAATTTTCAGTTTAACCACGTTGGTGCTTTTTACACAGAGGCCCTTGTGAAGTCTGACTTCTGGGCGTCAATCCAAGCAGGAACATGAATTGGTTTGTGGGTCTGAACTGGCCCAATCACTTTTTGGGATCCCAAAGTTGTGCAATTCTTTTTATATCTAAAACAAAATACTTCAATCAGCCAGTAATATAGCTTCTATGTGTAATTAGTTTTAGTGCGAAATGTTTAAACTCCCTACAGGTCGTGCGGCAAACCACCATTCTTTCTCACTGTTACCAGACAACAAACAATACAATAATAAAATCATGAATTGAATACACTAAAACTTCATCAGTATCACTGAGCAGCACAAGAGAAAATTATAAAAATAAAATATATAGGGATGGGCCATCCATTATAACTGGCTCGTCATGGGAATACTATTTAAGCAGCAATTGTATGGATGGTCAACAAAATGGGACAATGTACAATATTATAATAAAGATATATATAGATCTATCAAATATACTAACGTGCACATTCACACCTTTACGACACAAAATATTACCAACACCACAAAAGATGAATGGGCCAAAGCCCATCAAACAGAAACTAACTCATACACATTCACAGCATCAGAAGCAATTTGGTGTTCAGTATTATGCTCAAGGATACTTCGACATGTGGCGGAAGGACCTGGGGATCGAACCAACAACCTTCAGATTAGTGGACGACCCGCTCTGCCTCTGAGCCACAGCCGTGCAGCAGTGTGGGATTTACATACAAGGGCTTTTCTACTGCTAACTACCGACTGTAGGAGCAAGCTCAGGCCTACCCTCAAAGGTTCTGTACCGTCCGTCTTCCTTTTCTTTTCATTGAGCAGCTACAACACAATGAGAGACAAAATTAACCTACGCCTGACTGTACAACTCAAACTCACACACACACACACACACACACTTCCACTTTTTCAAACAAGGTAGAATGTACAATGTAGAGGCTCATTTGCAGTAAGAAGTGACAATATGTATCAGATCAGCCCCTCCTAATGAGATGAAATATAAAATAAAATGAACGCACAAAAGTGTCTTTAATATTAGTTGAAATCCTACAGTAGTGATTATAACCCATATTTAGTTTATGCCATTCATGTACAATTGCTCATTAAGAGCTGGTGTGATTGCATTTTCCTGGGAACAATTCTCCATCTGTATCAAATCACATTAATGAAACCAGAACCAGTAGTTTGTGAAAAGATAAATAAAAGGACTTCCACCAGCAGGAGCTCATCAACAGAAAAAGAAACACATTATCACATAATCATTCAAGCAGAGTTAATTAAAAGGGAAGTGTATTTAAAAGGGAAATACCTCAGAACCAGAGCTAAAGTGAACCCTCAAAAGAGAAGCACTTCAAGATGAGGCAGCAGGAATCAGAGGACTGCAGATGTTAAATGATTGGCTTTATTGACTGAATAGTTCACTCTCACAGCTCTCATGGAGTGAAGCATTCA